AAGGAAAATGATGGGGTGGATGCGGATTTGGTGCGGATTGAGCACCGTCTCCGCGAGGACGGTGTCTGCTTCTGGAGCTTCAACACTGTGCTGCGGCAGTGGGCGATGGGCCGCGCAGGCGAACTGTATTCCTGCCCCGCCAGCCTGGGGCTTCTCGTCGACGTGGGTGGTGGCTGCTGCTGGCCCGCCACTGTGCAGCCTGGCACGCGAAACTACCCGCTTGCGGCGCTCCGTAACACGTTGATGCAGCCCGGCTACCGCTGGACGTGCCCGCTGGAGCGGGAGGGGACGTTGCGCGTGCGTCGAGGGGTTGCAACAGCGCGGGCGGCGTCATATTTTGGTCTGCAACCGGTTCCTCCGACGGAGAGCGTGTGCGATGTCTCTCTTGCGGCCTATGTTGCGGCGTTCTTGCGTCGGTGCGAAGAGGGCGGCGAAACGGAGGAGGAGCGTGCGTCAGTCTCCCTGCCAATTCTGGTGCGTCGTGGCGTGTGGGAAAAAATGGAGAACATCCGAATGCTGGATGACTTGCCCGACAGCTTCTTTCTGATGACTTCGACGACACCGCACTGCGAGCCGTCTGACTTTGCTGCACTGGGGCGGCAGAGGCTCGGCGTTATGTCTGAGTTTTGCGTGGACGATGTGTTCGAAGAAGGCACCGTCGGTATACTTGTGTGAGTGCCTATTATCAGTGTGAACGTTGAATGATATGTGAATACGGTGAGGGTACAGTGGACTGCTTTCTGCACGCGTCATTCTAGGGTTGGAAAGGAAACAATTTGAATAGGAGGATTTCTCGGGAAGTCCAAGCGCCGTGGCAAAGTCAGCATTGCTTGATCAGGGGAAGAGAGGATACTTTTCCACGCCAACCCCTAATTGGTAGCGTCTTCTGCGGCAGCAAAAGAGCGATAAGGCATTACACGGTAGAAACGGAAGAGGCGCGGAATCATCAATGGGTGCGGTCATGAGCTGGTTTGATGGCCTCTTCGCCAAGAAGGATGCGACCATCTTGATGGTGGGTCTTGACGCCGCGGGAAAGACAACCATCCTTTGGAAACTGAAGCTGAACGAGGTGCAGCAGACTGTCCCGACGCTGGGCTTTAATGTGCAGACGGTGGAGTACAAAAATATAAAGTTCCATCTCTGGGACGTAGGTGGTCAAAAGCTTCTGCGGTCTCTTTGGAAGCACTACTACGAGGGGGCAAACGCAATCATTTTTGTCATTGACAGCAACGACAGGGATCGGGTCTGGGAGGCACGACAGGAACTGGAGAAGCTTTTGCAGGAGCCACTACTGGTGGGAGCGACTGTCCTCGTGCTGTGCAATAAGCAGGATCTGCCGCACCGTCTGACCCCAGCGGAGCTGGTGGAGCAGTTGGGCTTCCGCGACCATAGCGCGACCGGACTGGGGGCAGCGATGCGTGGCCGTCAGTGGTTTGTTCAGGGTTGCTGCGCGCACACGGGTGACGGGCTTTTTGAGGGGCTTGACTGGCTGTCTAGTCACCTGCCCGATGTTTCTGAGGAGCG